ACTCACATTCCGGAAAGAGGTAAGTGGGGTCCTATACCTTCCCCTTCCCCTTCATTTCTCATTCTTTGGTTCCCATCCTCTCCCACTGTCACTAATTGCTTATGTGGTTACAATCACTGACTAGTCACCTACTGTGCACCAGGCATGAGTCAGGACCCTGAAGTATCCTGGTAAAGGGACCTAGGTCCAGCCTTCAGAGAGGTCACAGACAAGGAAAGATATTACTCGTATGCAGAGATGCCACTGTGTGTGTGTCTGTCTGACCTCTCAGGCACTCCTGACCTGGCTATGTCCCTATGTCCCCCTTGTTTAACCAAGAGACCATAGTGTATCTAGTTTCTCACAGAAACTGAACTGCCATACATAAGGCCCCATGATGACGAGTGAGGCTGGGATATAAGTGACTTCTCTGCCTCTGCCCTAGAAGGGTAGGGCTACCTGATCCAAGGCCTAGAAAGGCAAGGGACATCAGGGAGGTGCAAAGTTTAGCATGACTGCTCTCTCCATCCTCCTCCTCTCTCCTCCCTGCATATTTGTAGAGCACAGTCCAGCTGCCTTTTGGGTGTCTTCCCCCACCCCTGCTCTCATCTCTCCCGAGTCCCCCAGGGGCTGTGGGGCCCACATTCCTTCCTGGCTCTCTCAGACCCATTAGTCTGTTTATGCTGGAACTAAGGAGAGTGGAGCCGGACCCCCCACCTGCCACCATCCCCCTCTACCCACCCCACCCCTCCTCCATAGACAGTGGTCAGAGGCGAGGTGAAGTCTGGTCAGAGCCATGGCAGACCTGACCCGGGTGTCCAAATTCCTGCCCCACTGTCTGAACAAGTCCAGGGCAGTCAAGGGCCTGAGGGGCAACAGTAGTCCCCCCCCCTCCTGCTACCCCCCTTTCCATGCAGCCCCTCCTGCAGCTGACAGCCTCTAATCTCAGCTGTCTTCATGCAGCCAGCCCTCGGAGCCCGGGGTCACCTGACGCCGACACATTTTAATTCACAAGCTGATTTCTGCTTGTTGGGAACATGTCATTTCTGAAATTGCTTTCTCTGCCCAGAGGCAGGAGTTGTCAGAGCTGCACAGGTGTGGCAGTAGTGCCGCCCTCACCCTACCCCCACCCCCAAGTTCAGGAAGGATTAAGGGGTGTGGGGGGGCACACAGGAGATCCTCAAGCTCAGCTTCTCATGTTTCCCCAAGGACTGGGGAGGCCAGGGATGGGGAATGGCCCTAACTTTCTTTTCTGGCCCAAAGATAGGGAACTAACGTTCATAAATGAAGGTGCTGATACTACTACTTGCTTTGGACAATAGCAACAGTAAGTTGCTTTGAGAATGTTCTACATAGGTGCCAGGCATCCCCCTAAAGAGCCTTTCTTACATATCATTATATGTAAATCTTATGACAACCCTCCCAGTGTGTGTCATCCCTACCTTTCTGCTGAGAAAATGGAGACTCAGAAAGGTTAGATTGCTTACTTAAGGTCTCACAGAAAGTATATATGTGGCAGATATTGGACTCAACCCAGTGAGGGCAGCAGTTATACTGGGACTGGTTGTATGGGAAGAGATGGGCCAGAGAACAGAGAAGGACCAGGGACTGGCTGCTTCTATATTTGCTTTCATGTCTTGGCTTAAGGATCACCAGTGAAATTTGCCTCCCTCCATAACATCCTCACCCCTACAACTTATCAAATAGTTATTTTTTTCCTTTTTTTAATGTTTCCTTGTCATTTCGCCTATACTTCCGTTAACAATTTTCTCCTGATAATGACATCCTTTGTCTTGTTGGATGAATGAACATGGATAGAAAGACAAATGCATACACAAATCTGTGAGTCTTGCTCTCCACATGGCCCCTACCCACATCCTCTTCCTCAGCAGTGTCCAGAAAAGAAGGCTTTTCCTCTTGTGGCTGACGCCTTTTCTATCCTTGACTTACTGCTGGCTTCTTTCTATCCACACTCCCTTTCCTTCCCCTCATTTGGTCTTACCTCCTTTCTGCAGCTACCCAGACTTCCTTAGCTGCCTTAACCATCAAGAGTAACACTACACAAAAACCTTAGCCTAGGACACCTACAAGACAGAATTAACTGACCCTGCTGGAAAGCAGCCCTCTGAGCCCCTGGTGGAGATGGCACATGGGTGAATATACCCTGTCCTTGATGGTACCCCTCTTTCTACTCCACCAGCTTCCCCAGGGTGAACTTCTCCCTGCTCCTCAGCTCTTCAGAGGACTCATAGCCGCATGGACTTGTTCCTTGGCATGTGCCAGAGCTCTAGGAATATGGGAAACACCAGGGGGGCCTTTGGGGCCCTTTAGCATGACTCAAATTGTCTCTGTTCACCTGATGGGCAATTTTCTGCTGCAGGAAGATCAATATCCCTAATGATTCCTCAGAGAGCACAACTACAATAATCAATGTCCAAATCTTAGAACCCTCTGTTTTGAGAATCCCATCAGGAGTTGACTTCATCTAGGTACTGAGGTGTCTCCTTTGAAATCAAGACCTCTGTACTGGGACCACCTCATCCTGGCAGAAGGGTGTTATCTATCTCCTCTCTCTACCTTCTTAGAAGAGAGTAGAAGTCAAGTCTTAACCCACAGCTCCATCATAGCCTCCATGGGCACCAGCCATTAGAAGAGGTCATGGACTCCAGAACCTGTTAGCTAAATAAACTTTGATCCTTGAAAGACTGAATGAGATTTCTGATCTCTGGCTTCTAAAAGGCTAAGTAAAATCTATGACCTTGGTCTTGTGTTCCCTGCCCACTTCTTCCTGGCTTTCACCCAGCCCCAGCATCAATAGTGTGCAGTGACTCAGGAGAGCTGTATTTTCCTCTCTTAGATACTGAAATCAAGGGCTCTACACAGCTCTTCCTTTTCCTCCCTACAGCCCCCAAACCCTTCTTTATCCTAAAAGTGTTCATTGCATTTCATTGACTCCTGAGAAGGCCCTTTGTCTTTGACCTTGAGATAGCTCAAGAAGGCTTCTATGAACAGTTAACCCCCAAGCATTGCCATATGGAGTTGATTTCTCCCTCTGTCCCTCCCTCACTCCCTCCCTCCCTCCCTTCCTTTCTTCCTTCCTTCCTTCCTTCTTTTAAGCAATACTGGAGTTAAAACTCAGGACCTTGAGCTTGCTAGGCAGGTACTCTATTGAAGTCATACCTCTAACCCTTTTTTTGTTTTAGTTTTTTTTTTTCAGACAAGATTTAGTACTTTTTTCCTGGGGCTGATATCAGACTGCAATAGTCTCTTAGTAGCTGTGCCTGTTAGTAGCTGGAATTACAGATGTATACCACCATACTTTGCCTGGGCTGGCCTTGAACCATGAATCTTCACACACCCTCCTCCATGGGTTAGAATTATTTTCTCTGTGTGCATGTGTGCGGGTCATTGAGCTACATTCCCAGCCATGAATTAACATTCTTTGTCAATTTGTCAGGACTCTCAATGTCTTGATTGCTAGGCCATGTAGGAAAAGGGGATGATACCTCCATCAGGAGATTATATGTGGTAGTACAAATACTTTGAACAGTGCCTGACACATCGTCCACTGTCAACAAGCACAGTGGCTGTTCTTATTGCCACCATTGCTGTGATCCTCCTGGCAGCCCCTCTCATGCCACCACTCCAACTCTGCCTCATTTTCAAGTCTTCATCCCTTGTCCCTCCTCCACCACTGTTCCTATCCCCCCCCCCTCCAATCTTGCTGCTCCTGCAGCCCTTCGCTGGCTAATAATGCTGCTGTCAGTTCAGATTAGAGCCCATTACTTTCCTTCATCTCAGCTTAACATTTTTGTGGTTTCCCGTCTCTGCCTAAAGTGCTCCACGAGAGGCAGAGGCTACACAACTGGAGGTGCCTCTGGAGGAAGAATGTGAGCCTGTGAGTTTCCTGGTGGGCTTCCCCCAGATTCCTGCTGATAAGAGTGGGGAGCTGCATTGGGGTACATCCATTGTCAGCCATCAAGTGCCAAATCCCTGAGATGAGAAAGCAAGAGTTCTTGGAAGCTCAATATCATTGCTGCCAATAGACAGGTTGGCATCCAGAAACAGATAACACCCATAGGGGACAGGACTGTGGTCATTCAATCTAAAAGGAATCTCAGGGGGTAGAATTCTGCCACTGGGAGATTCCTAGCAAAGCCAATGAGCCCAATCCTTGAACTGGTCTGTCCTTTGCTAACTCTCCTCTCTCTCTCTCTCTCTCTCTCTCTCTCTCTCTCTCTCTCTCTCTCTCTCTCTCTCTCTCAGATAGTGTTGTCCATAGAGAAGGGACTTTCTCAGATCTTTCCACAGGCTTACCTTTTTTTGTTTTTGTTTTTTTTTTTGTCGGTTGTGGGGACTGAACTCTGGGCCTGGGCATTGTCCCTCAGCTCTTCACCTCAAAGCTAGAGCTCTACCACTTGAGCCACAGTTCCACTTCAGGTTCTTTTCTGTTTATGTGGTGCTAGGTATTGAACCCAGGGCCTCATGCATGTGAGTGCCCTACCACTGAGCCATCTTCCCAGCCCCGCCTTTTTGTTTTCAATTTTAATTTTTTTGTCAGTAGTTGGGCTTGCACTCAGGGTCTGGTTGCTGTCTCTGAGCTTTTATACTCAAGATTAGCCTTCTACCATTTCCACCTTTTCTTTTTCTGCTGGTCCTGGAGCTTGAACTCAGGGCCTGAGCACTGTCCTTGAGCCTCTCTGTGCTCAAGGCAAGCGCTCTACCACTTGAGTCACAGGGCCACTTCTGGTTTTTTCTGCTTATGTGAGACTAAGGAATCGAACCCAAGACTTCATTCTGGCTAGGCAAGCACTCTACTACTAAGTCACATTCCCAGCCCCCACTGTACCACTTTGAGCCACAGTTCCACTTCTGGTTTTCTAGTGGTTATTGGAGATAAGAGTCTCACAGAATTTCCTGCCTGGGCTGGCTTTGAACCATAATCCTCAGATCTTAGCCTCCTGAGTAGCTAAGATTACAAGTGTGAGCCACCAGGGCCCAGCAAGGCTTGCCTTCTTTAGATCTGAGGTTTGAGAATCAATTCAGCTGTGGCTCTCTCCATGGGGACAGGTGGTAGCCTTCATGTTTTGAGTGTCTTTGTGGAGGTGGAAATGTCTTGAGGGACACCCTCATCATGACAGAAACAATGAAGACCAGCTTTGTTGGATTAGCACGGCGGCCAGTCTAGATGTTACAGTCCTATAGTCTGCAGGTAGCACTTGGAATCCCCAATAGCCACTGGTGTTTTGGTTGCCCCAGTAACTCAAGACCAACCTCCATCAGTGCACTATAAGTTCCACTATCTGATCATCCATACAACTAACCCTCATGTAATGAACCACCTAGAATATCTGAACACTGCTGGGTTACAATGGCATCTTAAATCACTCGGACTCAACTGACCAAAGCTCATGACCCCAGTTCCTTGAACTCAGTACATTAGGTATAAAGGTGAGCATAAAGCTATAGCCCAATCTTTAAAAAACAACATACAGACTCCTAGAACGAAGCACTTCTCAGTGTGATTGACCAAGGCCCCTTTCCTTCTCTGGGTCTTGGCCCACTGTTCTGTAATAACAAAGAGGATCAGATCACCTGACCTCTGGTCCTTTCCAGACCTTGTATAATTCAGATGTAGTCTCTACACATGAGGTCACTGGGTGACAAGCAAGTCAGTAAGACCCCTTAAGACAGGTGCCAGGAAACCTACCAATTGGGTAATTAGGCTTGCCCCGACCCCACATCCCTGGAGGGAGCAGACATGGACTTCAGCAGCCTCCCCAGAGCAGCGGAAGCACTGGGCGCTGCGGGGGTCCCCGGTGGAATGTAGTGGAATGTGGCTGTGGTGGGCGCTGGGACAGAGGGCTCGGCTGACAGATCTAAGGCTGCCGCAAGCCACCAGGTCTCAGTGGAGGCAGCCTGCAGGCCTCCCTCCTGTGGAATGACAAACCTTGCTCCCCCTCACCTGGCGTTTAATCTTTAATGCAGTCCCAGCTGCCCTCGGGCAGGACCCATCAACCCACCCGCTCTGATAAAAGCCTAATTAGCTCTTTTTCAACTTTTCCCTTCTCTTCCCCTCCCCTCTACTCTCACGTGTGAGCACTGGGAGGATTGCAGCTAATGGGCCTGCCCCCAGCCAATTCCTGGCCCATGCAGGCCGGAATGCTGAGGGGTCATTAGCCAGGGCTTCCCAGACCCTCCCAGGCAGGGGCCTATACTTAGAATGTGCTCCCCTGTTCACTTTAGGGTGTCCCAGCCACCAGGAGCACCCTGGTGGAGAACAGACCTGCTCAAACCTGGATCCCACCTTTCTCCATCGAAGCCCCAGCTTGGGACCTCAATAGAGTCTACTGGAAGGTGGCCTTAGGCTGCCAAAAGGCCAGGCCAAAAGGATATGGGGGGCCATCTGTCCTCAGGTTTCGCCCTGCTCCCAGGGCAGAGAGCCCAGTCTGGGTTCAGCCACCGGTCAGTTCAGAAGCTGCTGGCTGGGATCCCCCCGCCCCCGCCCCATCAATGACTTATAATAGCTAACTTGTGCAGGGAGCCTGTCCCTTAGAAAGTGCTTCTAAGTAACTCAGCTGGGAGGTAGCTATAGCCCAGGGCTTCACTGTGCAGGCAAATTGTAACCTCCCTATCGGCGTTAAGAGAAAGAGAACCTCCATAGGCCACAGCCTCTTCATCCATGAGGTAGGATGGTAAAGTTGTACTTATCTGGTAGGGTGGCATGAAGGTAGAAAGAGCTGATGGGCAGTGCTCAGTGAAATGCTGGGCCTTTCTATGCACCCAGCAACAGCCATTGTTCATGCTCTTCATTCTCTTGACAGGCTTTGGTTTTGCAGGAATTTGAAAAGGTGGTGTATTTTGCCTTTCCTTGTTTTCTTTTCTTCTTTCCTTTCCTATCTCCTTTTTCCTCCTCCTCCTGTTCCTCCTGTTCCTCCTCCTCCTCCTCCTCCTCTTCCTCTTCCTCCTCCTCCTCCTCCTCCTCCTCCTCCTCCTCCTCTTCCTCCTCCTCTTTTCTTTCCTCCTCCTCTTTCTCTATTCTTTTTGTACCAGTACTGGGGCTTGAACTCAGAGCCTTACACTCATTTGGCTTTTTCATGCATGGCTAGCACTCAACTACTTGAGCCATGCCTCCAGCCCAGGCTGTATTTTCTAAATAATAATAGTTGACTTATCCTATCTTCCCAGCATCTTTGTTCAAAAACCCTTTTATTCCTACCTTTCAGAGCAGCAACTGATAAGTAGGGGAGGGGTGCAGAGGTTGCTGTCCACTACTTCCAAACACTTGTCTTGTTTGGAGCCAGCTACTGCTGGAAAAGCCCCTGTGCAGCAGCAGGTACCTGGGGATCTGGAAGGAAGGAGGTGTTAGGGCCAGGCCTGATCTGAGCTAAAGGGGTAGGAACAGCCACCATCCCAGTCAGGCCAGAGCTCTTGTCTTCATTTTTCTAGGGACGTGAAAAGGCCTTGTTGGTGCCTAGGTTATGAACTAGTCATGCTCCATAGTCATCTTTGCCTCAGTTTCCCCATGTTCAGACTGTGTGCTGTTTCCTAGGGACATTCTTCTCATTGCAAGGCAGCCCTTAAAACTCACTGTCCCCTATTCATCCTGGATTCCAGTACTAGTTGAGAGGAGGTATATGTGGAAAGAAAGAAGCCTACCATTGGTCTGGACTTCTCCATCAGAGTCCAGGCCAGGAGAAGCACCCTGGACAAGCACGCTTGAGTATCTCTAGGGCTTTGCAGCTTCAAGCAAAATTCTCTAGACTACATTTCTCCTAGAGGTCCTTCAGAGCACCTATAAACTAGTACATACCAAAGGAGGGGGTCACCAGACAGAGAACTTCAAAGAGAAAGGGTTACACAGGGCCTCTGAGAATAAGTATAGGATAGGCTGCCGTTTAAGACATGAAGCTTGGTTTTCGCATCCAATTTCTATCCAGTCTTGGCCAACACCCATAGGCTTGTGGCTACTCAGAGCCAGAAAGCTGAAATTACAGGGATCCATTACTAATGCCACAGGTTCACCAGCACCCACATGGCCCATAGAGATAGAAGATAGATTAGTGGCTGTCTAAGACTGAGGAGTGGAGAACAGGAATAATGGCTAATAGGTATGGTTTTTTGTGGAGTGGTAATGAATTACAGCAAATTATAGCTGTAATGGATACATAGCTCTGAGAATATACTGAAAACCACGGAATTGCATACTTTGAAAGGATGAGCTTTATTTCTGCAACCAAGGTGCTACTTAAAACATGCTAGAAGGCTGTTAGATTGTTACTTCATTTAATTCTTACAGTTAACCCACACTGGAGGTAAAGAAGAGTCTAACACAGTGTTTGGTAGAGCCAACTTTCCAGTCAGAGTATAAGAGAACAACCTCAGTTCATCCCCTATTAATGCCAGACCTTGAACAAGTTACTCAAACTTCAGGAGATCCAGGATCCTTCTCTGTTAAGTGAGCACAGCAATGTGTATGCCATTCAAGCAGCATGATGCCTACTGCCCAGGGGAATCGTGGGTAGTTACTATTAGATATCATAATAATCATTTGATAGTATTGCAACTCCACAGATCTCTCCCATCCTTTTCTACTTCTTGAGCCTCTTAGAAGAACAATTACTCTAGAGGATGAAGATGATGGAGGAGGAGGAGGAGGAGGAGGAGGAGGAGGAGGAGGAGGAGGAGGAGGAAGATGAGTATCTACAAGACAGCTTGTATCTGCATCTCTGCACTTACTAGAATGTGTCTAACTTTGCAGGGCACTGGAGTGGGGAAGACAATGACTCTTGCTAATCTCTACAAGGCACTTTGGCAAGCACATTTATGTATTTTTTCCTTTTTGTTTCATCCCAGAAAAAATGACCTGGGCTGGAGATATCATTAATTTATTTATAACTGAACCCATCAACAGGCCAAGCTCTGTGCTGTGAACCTTTAGAGTGAGAATCAAGACAGTCCAAAGTCTCACCCTCAATGGAGCTTGCATTCTTGAGGGAGGAAGATAAGAAAGAACCAGGCACAATGACTTTTCTGATCAACCATAATGCAATGGAAAAAGAAAAAAAAAATAAAGGTTGAAGGATTGCTTTGTATAGGTATTTAAAGAAGATTTGCCCAAAGAACTGGCTTCTTTTTTTTTTCTTTCTTTCTTTTTTTTTGTCGGTCGTGGGGCTTGAACTCTGGGCCTGGGCGCTGTCCTTGCACTCTTCAGCTCAAGGTGAGCGCTCTACCATTTGAGCCACAGTACCATTTCCAGTTTTCTAATGGTTTATTGGAGATAAGAGTCCCATGGACTTTCCTGCCCGTGATCCTCAGCTCTCAGCCTCCTGAGTAGCTAGGATTACAGTCATGAGCCACCGGCATCTGGCCAAGAGCTGGCTTCTGAGTTAAGACAAGAGGGAGGTACTAAAGCAAGAGAGGGCTACTTTAATGAGCACAATAAGCCTAGCCCATTTTGAGCACAGTGAGCAGGCTGGGTGATGGAAAGTAAGGGAAGTTACTAGAAAGAGGCCTGTTACACGGAGCCAAGAACTCTGCACAAAGAGTTGGATCTTGGCTCTAGCACAGCAGGAAACATGGGGAATTCTCTGGACTTCTTATAGAGAAAAGCTGCGCTCAAAATCTGAAGGGGCATATCTAGTAATGATGGCTGTTCATGAGTAAGCAGCAGAGTAAGTCTTAGTCCTTTGCCACAAATACTTTGGTCTTTCCACAGTGAGCTGCCAGGGACTGACTGTCTTTGGGCTGAATAGGACCTTTATCACTGCGATTCCTCCTAGTCATCATGATGGATTGCACCCAGCCTGGCTCCTGGGCAGTGCTCACTGAAGCTTCTTCCTTCTGAGCAGGCCATAAGAATCTGAGTGTTGTTTTTCCTTACTGAGGTCAAGCCCCAGCATTGGCCATAAGTTGTTTATGAAGAGAGATACCTGCTAATGCAAAGGTTGTGAGAAATGGATCTAGGGGAGTCTGGGACAATGAGGAGCAATGTGATAGAACTCATTTCCCTTAGAAAATATGGGGTTCAT